TGTGTGTGTGTTACTTAGACCAGTTTACAATATATTGGCCCAATTATATCCCTCTTTGGTTCGAATTGACACGATTTTGATCGAACTAAGTTGCAGTTTATCGACAAAAGATAACAAAGTTAATGTAATTGGGTTACCCGCTTCCGAAACCGAAACCACCGGTTCCAGGACTGGTTCTAAAAGTTTAACAACTGCCTAGAACGATTCTGGTTTCGGTTCTAACTTTCTAGGAACCACCTGTTCCGGTTCTTGCCAAATGAGGCGGGTACCTGCCTATGCTCAACCACCGCCAGCGATTTACTATCGCCATTAACCACTGTCATCACCATTGCTTGCAACCAATAACCAGCGGTGAATTGCACATATTTTTTGTTTGTTAATACACTATTTTTTTAATGTAAAAATATTAAATTATATGGTGTGGTTTTTATTTGAAAGGATATTACCTAATGCCTTTGAAAGGAAATTACACAATGCCTCCTACCACAATGTATTGAAATGACCAAATATGCTTGTCAGACTGTCAACATCTGCATGGCAAACTATGAATTGATCGTGTTTTGAATTATACAATCAACTTAGACCTCGTAGTTCAGAAACACTTTGTATACATATCAATGATTACGTCCAAAAATAAATAAATAAATCATTGTCTAAATCTTTTTTAGCCTATATATATGGCTTAGACGCACCATTTGGAAAAGATTGATGTTTTTGGTATTGAAAAATGATGAGTTGATTATGAGTTCACAAGTTCTCACAAATCTTTTGGTTTGCTCGATAACTAAGTCATATATATATATATATATATATATATATATATATATATATATATATATATATATATATATATATATATATATATAATATATATATACCTCTTGTGATATTAAGCAATGTGTCATGGTGAAAATCAGCCCACCTCATTTGATTGTGAACGGTTTTAAGTATTAATAGCCCCAAGGAAGAAATACAAGAGACCCATTTACAGTCAACCACATTTGCATTCTAATCGTGCTTTGTAACGAGTGATCTTACCATTCTAATCCTTTTTAAGTTTGTACACCCATTTATAGTCAACCACATTTGCATCGGGAACCAGTGGAACAAGAGACCAGGTGTTATTTCGTATGAGGTTAGCATATTCTTCAACCGTGGCGGCTCGCCACTCGGGTGATTTCTTGGCAATTGCAAAGGTGGTGGGCTCAATATCAGAAGAGCTTGTAGAGACGGCATAGGCAGACGGGTCATAAGGGACCCGTGGTTTTGGGTTCTGCCGAAGATGGGATGGTCGGACACAAGTGGATGGCTCGGGTTGCACAAAAACAGATACGGTGGATTGGACAAAAGGTGGTGAAGTTGGTTCAGTAGTGGAGGTTGGTTCGTTGTTGAGAACCGTAGAAGGTGACGGGCTGGTAGAGGGAGTTTCGTTGAGTATAATAGAAGGTGTCGGTGGTGTGGCAGTATTAATGGGATTATCTGAAGATGGAATAATTGCAGGGTAACTGGAGATGTATGGATCAGGAGAAGGAGTGGTAAGCGGAATGGGTGATGGTTGTAAAAAAGGAAATTGTTGCTCTACAAACCGAACATGACGAGCTATATAGATGCGATCGGTTGTAGGATCGAGACATCTGTAACCATGATGATCAAGGTTGTACCCAAGAAAGACACAAGAGATAGAACGGGAATCCATTTTATGGGTATTGTATGGACGAAGATGATGATAACACAGACAGCCAAAAACACTTAAGAAAGAGTAATCCGGTTTGTGAGAAAAGGCATGTTCAAGAGGTGACACATTTGACGAGGTACGGGATGGCATACGGTTGATTAGATAAACTGATGTTTCATATGCAAAATGCCAAAAACGAGAGGGCACGCCAGATTGAGCAATTAAAGTGAGGCCAGATTCTACAACATGTCGATGACGATACTCCACAAAACCATTTTGCTCACTTGTGTGTGGGCATGAACGACGATGAATGATGCCAAGGGGAGAGGAAAATTGTGGCAGATTTCGAAATTCTCCACCCCAATCTGGTTGAACAGATTTGAGTTTGGTTTTAAACTGTCGCTCAACCATAGCAAGAAAGTGTTTAAAAATGGCATAAACATCAGATTTTTGTTTTAAAGGAAAGATCCACATGTAACGAGTAAAATGATCAACACAATGTAAGAAGTAATTATGTCCATCAGAGGAGGTAACGGGGGCCGGACCCCATACATCACAAAAAACCAAATCTAAAACGCATGAGCTTTTAAAATTAGACAATGGTAAAGATAGTTTTGAGAATTTCCCTATATGACAAGCATTACAAGGAGAACTCGAGTTTTTATGTAAAACAGGAAGAGAGTATTTAGATAACATGGAATTCAAAAGTTGTGCATGTGGATGACCAAGCCGTTGATGCCATGTATGGACAGGAGCACGAACAGCGGTGAAGACACTCCTTGAAACTGGTTGAAAGGATGGAAGTTGAAACGAGTAGAGCCCATGTTCACTTGGGCCCGTGAGGAGGATATTGCGCGAAATTCCGTCCTTCACACCATAAAAAGTATCATGAAATTCAAAGAAAACGTTATTATCATGACAAATTGTTGAAGAGAGAGAAGATTACGTTTGATTTGTGGAACATGAAGAATATTGGTTAAGGAAAAAGTTTTCTTCGGAGAATAAAATTTAGTGGAACCAATATGTAAAATAGGTAAGCCATTACCATTGCCAACATGGAGGGACTCGTCACCATAGTATGGTTCAGTGGTTCCGATGCTAGAGTGATCTGGTACTACATGGCTTGGCTGTTAGAGCCGGTATCAAGAAGCCAAGGAGTTTGTGCATGTAAGCGATACCCAGCATGATTAGCCGAAGGTGGCAGGGTCACGATTGGGGAAATCTGATGGAAGGTGGCCAATGCCACACCAGTTGCATGTCCCATAGATAGTATTCTGATTAGAGGCCCAAGTAAATTCCCCTTTACTATTCTGATTGTTTGGAGTACGGCCTTGACTACAGTTGTTAGGAAAGCGACCACGGCCACGGTTGTTTGGAGAAGAAGTGAAAAAAGCTTGAGATTGTTGATTAGCAGGATGTAGTTTGAAGCCAAGTTGGGAAACAAGTTGAGTTAAAGCTTGCATGGAGTCTTGTTGTAAGGGGATTGTTGCAGAAGTCATTCCAGTAGCATTTAAGTGAAAAACCTATGGTTGTGGGACAACAGGAATGGACTGTTTAATCATGTAATCTTGATCAGATAGCAGCCCATTCAATTCATTGAAGGTTGTAGGAACCTGTCGAGCAAGAAGAGTCGACTTTAATCCATTATAGTCGTCACGAAGACCTGCAATAACAAGCATGACAAGGTCTTTCTCTTTAAAAGGTTCACCAATATTAGCCAAAGCATCAGCATACTCCTTTGCCCGATTAAGATATGTTGAGGATGTTTCATCTCCTTTCATCTGAATCTTTAGTAATTGTGTTTTTAGGGTATCCCTGGAAGAGGTATGAGGGGCGTATGCTCGTTCCAAGGAAAGCCAGACTTCACGAGATGTAGAGGTACCTTGAACATAAGGAAAAGCAGCCTCTGAGATCGTCGAGATGATCAACATCCTGACATGAACATCGTTAGAAACCCATATAGGATAATTAGGGTTTGGTTGGGATGTCGTGACAGGCTTTTTGTCTAATGAGGAGGTTTGTTCAACCAGTGGTGATGGACAGGGAATGGTACCATAAACATATCTGATCAGATTGTTTGTAACAAGGAATGGATGAATCATTATTTTCCAAAAACCATAGTTGGTTGGGGAGAGAGTAAATCCGAATTTTTGAGAGTTGTGAGAAGTTTTCTCGACAATGGTGAATGCAACAATCAAGGCCATTGTGCAGCCAAATAGAATCAAAAAAAAAACCAGGGCTGATGAAATGAAAGAACAGAACCTGTGTGTTGGATTGCTGATTGTTGTTGAAGGATCAAAAGACTTGTGATTGTCGTTGTTTGAAGATTTGGGATTTTCGATTATTGTTTGATCGACGGTAAGAGATGTTAGGCGCCGATTAGGTTTGGGAATAAACAAGCTCTGATACCATAATAATCTTGATAAAAATATTGTGTTGTGTAGTATGACCGATATATATATATATATATATATATATATATATATATATATATATATATATATATATATATATATATATATATATATATATATATATATATATATATATATATATATATATATATATATATAAACTACATAATTACACTTTATATCCTTCTAATTCTAGACTATATCATAATTGTCTATTACCTCACAAACTCCTTTGAAGAAATAAGGAAGGAATTCCCTCCCCATTCTTGGTTAGGGTGGTTTGACATAGCATTCTTCAATAGGAACTAGTTGTTGATCGACATCATCTTGAGTGGTTTTCTCTAAACATTTCCCACCAGGCATTCACCTTATGGGTGGCGCTGAAAGATTGACTCCGAACGCATGATGAAATTTCATATATAGGAACCCCATCAAAATCTCATTCAGTCATTTGTAGTTTATGTAACTTTTACCCCGATTCTCTCTACCACCTACTCTTCAAACAATAGAACCCAATGATTTGATGGGCAAGACTATTACTGATTATGTTTGCTTGAGACTCTTGAGTCTTGCTAAAAAGCCCACCCCAAATGTCGCTAAAGCTAAGGTCTTTTGGAGCCTTTCTTTGCAGAACGGAGATATCACCACAAAGTGCCCGTTTCACTTTCCACCCACACATATGTTTTTTTCCATGTCTATGTTGTTAATGTTTCTTTAAAGTTATTTATTGGGCTTTTGAGACTGCCTCCTTGACTTTTATTGTTTTATGTAGTTTTTAGCTTGTTTTGGCTTATGGGGCATGTCATTCCCCATAATTGTCAATTGTCAATTGAATGTCTACATTCCACTAAATACGCCATGCAATAACGAAAATTTTCAAAAAAAAAAAAAAAAAAAAAATCAAATTCCAATCAATCATTCATAATGATACCAGATGGAAGAAAGGGGGCAGCTGCCAAGCAATGAAAATCCAGTCCAACTTCAGTGAGGTGTTTGTGAAGCCTGTCCCCTACGGCCTTAATAAGACCCATCTGTGAGTCATGTTTTTCCTTGTTGGACAGCAGCCGCCTGCGTCTCTTCTCCAAGTCTCTTATCCCCCTATCAATTTCATCAATCTCTGAATCCAGTCTGTTTCCTTCCATCTGCGCCTCCTCCATTTTCTGTGTGATCCCTTTCAAACGTTGTTGTTGGAGATCCTCCTCCTCCTGCTTCTCCTTTATGAGAAGCAGCTGTGTCAACCGCTCTCTTACCAGCTCCACCTGAAACCCATGAAGTTCCAGTTCCGCCACCGTTTCCAAACACTCCTCTATCGCGCTTCTCGGATCCTCAAACCTCAGCGCACAAGTCTTGTCAACCACCCTGGAAAATGTCACCATGCTACCAATGGCCACTCCTTCCCGCTCGCTCTCCTTCACGCCTTCCAATGCTCGGAAATGTGGTTTCTGTGGAATCTTACGCAACACATCCATCGATTCTATTGTCTTCCACAGTGTAGGGCTGCTTATCTTAAAGGGCAGATTATCACCAAAACCTAAGCCTTCTTCTCCCTTGGTTCCTCCACTCGGAGGAGATTCAGAGTCTATACTGATTACCCGTCGCTTTCCTCCTTTCCCTCTCATGGACGAATACACTTTTCCCTCCTGTCGATGTGCTTGTACTTTTACATTCTCGTTATTCTCATGATCATGATCGTTAACTGCAACTGCAACTATAAATGTGAAAAACTATGAATTCATGTTCATCATCAACCAAAATCTCCACTGATATGTGATAAATATACTATACCTCCTGCTGCTGCTGAAACTGGAGTCACGGGACTTATGGCTTGTAATTTAGGTGGTCTGCCCCTCTTCCTTTTTGGAGTTGGAGTTGGAGAAACAATTTCAGCTTCCTCTTCCCCTTCCTTTCCCTCCTGTTCACATTTCACAATCACATACTTACATACATAAAATAAGTGAGCAAGTGTAATCTGTAATGTTCTCACCTTATCAACCACTGTCAATGGTGCAAACCCAACACATGGAGATGCTTGTTTTGTCTCACCTTCTGCAACATTGATCAGCTGCTTAAGTTTCTTCTCTTGTGAGACTGTCATCCCATTACATTGGGTGACATATTTTTCCACATTTTCTTGGATTCTTGTTTTGGCTGGATTGTCTTCAGCTCCTGAAAACTCTTTTGTTTACTCCTTGAGCTCTTATATAAGATTCTAAAAGAAGCAAAAAAACAAAAAAGACAAAGGCAGCTAATCACACACCTTCGCCTATAAGCTCGGTTTCCAATCTCCCCTTCTTTCTTGAAGAATCCATTGTTGGAGTTTTCAGTTCAACACCTTTTCCTCGTATACTACACTGCAACAAGTCAAAATTCAAGCTTGGTCTTCAATATTGGGCGAACGAAATTTAAAAAAATAAAATAAAACAAGTATTGCTTAGTAAGGCAAAATCCCTTTCTCACATCAGTTGCCTAACCAAAAAAATGTTCAACTCATGACTTTCATTCCATGAGAAAGATTCTCAGTTTTACCAAAGGCTTTGTCATTGATTACACTTACTTCTGTATCCAACCCCTCAGATTGGCCATTTGTATTTTGACTTAATAAACTTGGATCATCAGACCTAATTTCATTTTCCAGTCTCCTGGAAGGCAGTGAATTCTTATCATTGCTGTCAAGATCTGTCTGATTTGTTCTCTTTGGTAATGAGGTTGCAGTGGTAGATTGTTTAGGGGTTGTCTGCTCAAGCTGTTTGGACTGAGTTGTTCTCCCATCTGTTTCACCCTTCACAGAATTACATTCACCCGGTCCCTGTAAAACAACAATCTTAGTACTATTCACATAACTACAATTTACAAACAGTGTGTGCTCAAAGAAAGCTAAAACTTGAGAGGTCATGAAACAAATAAAAAAAAACTAAAGCAATTGCCTCCTTACATTAATAAGGAAGGAAATTGCAATATCAGTACAAGCAAACAAGACATAATCAAGGATCATATACAGCCAAGAGAGCCCAGAAGAATAATTTTGGTGGGCCCACCTACAGGAGGGCACCCTTGAGTCAAGCTCCCTCAAAACCTTTTCCCAAACCACAACCCCAAAACATGCTATAGGAGGTTGTAGATTTATGTGTATTAATTAAAGAATAATCTTGGTTATTGTAAATGCCTGAATTATAGGTAGAATCCCTGATTTACAGCAATCAACACTGATTCTAAGTTTCATACAAGTCCAAAACATCGCACAGTAAAAATTGCAGATGGCACATCCTCCAAAGTTGCGGGTGTGGGTTCAGTCAAGATAAACCCAAAACTAACCCTCAAATCTATTCTTTATGTACCCAAATTGGAATATAATTTACTGTCTATTTGTAAAATTACACATGAACTCGATTGTGTGGGTAAGTTTTACCCAAATATTTGTGTGTTTCAAGACTTGGGTTCAGGGAAGATGATTGGCAATGCTAAGACATGTTATGGACTTTATGTCTTACAAGATGACACTCTTTCTGTCATGACATCTCAACAATTCAGTTTGTTCTCTTTAAATAGCCAGTCTCGTTCCAATAAAGATACATGTTGTTGCACTATCGTCTCGGTCATCCGAATTTTTGTTATTTGTCAAAAAAAAATTCCTCGTTGTTTATTAATAAACGTCCCGACTCTCTTTGCTATGAAATTTGCCAACTCGCAAAACATACTCTAAACACTTATTATAGTATACCATACACACCTTCCAAACCATTTTTAATAATTAATAGCGACATGTGGGGTCCCTCACAAGTTAAGACTATAACCGGACAAAAATGGTATGTATCTTTTATCGACGACCACACCAGGTTAACCTGGGTGTATCTCATGAATTTGAAATCAAAAGTTGGTGAAATTTTTAAAAACTTTCATTCTATGATTCAAACTCAACATCACACCAAGATTCAAATCCTTAAGACGAATAACGGCAAAGAATTCAACTCTATTCTTAGTCCTTATCTAACTCAACACGGTACCCTACACTTAAGCTCATGTGTAGACACCCCTCAGCAAAATGGAATTGTTGAAAGAAAAAATCGACATCTCCTTGAAGTTGCTCGATCTCTCATGTTTTCTACTCAAGTTCCCAAACACTTATGGGGTAAAGTTGTTTTCACAGCCACCTACCTTATATACTGAATGCCCTCACGGGTTCTTAACTTTCAAGCTCCATATCAAACTGTCGTGAAGTTATTTCCTCATACAAAATTCATCAGTCTTCTTGATCCTAAAGTCTTTGGCTGCATTGCATTTGTGCACAATCACTCTCAGAGTTATAGCAATTTAGATCCCAAGTCTATTAAGTGTATCTTTATCGGGTATTCATCACGTAAAAAGGATTACAAATGCTATTCTCCTGCAACAAGTTAAATATATAATTCTATGATGTTACCTTCTTTGAAAATCATTCTTACTACAAATCTGAGCTTCGGAGGGAGAATGTAAATGAATCTCATCTTTGGGACTTTATTCCTAGTGTCGATACTTTATCTTCAGATACCAATCAGAGTTCTCATACTCAACCCTCCGGTGTTCAAGATGAGAGTCCCTTTATCTCAACTCCAGTCATGGAAAACTCTTCCAATCCTCCATTCATGGCTCCGTCTCCTTGCCAAGAACCAACCGAAAAAGAAAAGGAAATTCTTGTGTATACACGAAGGAAGCAACCAGGCAATGACATATAGAGCACGCAACACGTCTTGAGGACTACCACGAATCTGAACCAGGTCAATCATGTAATTCTAAATATGATAATGTTGATCACAAAGATGATTTAAATTTACCTATTGCTTTGCGAAAAGGGCTTCGTGCATGTACAGAACATCCGATTGGCAACTTTGTGTCCTATAAAATATTGTCACCATCCTATTAGGCCTTCGTCTCTGTTGTTGATAGCATACAGATTCTTTACACAATTCAGGAAGCATTGGCTGATTCTCAATGGAAAGAAGTTGTACAAAATAAGATTAATTCTCTGGCAAAAAACAATACATGGACACTCAACAATTTACCATGTGGAAAGAAAACAGTTGGTTGCAAGTGGGTTTTCTCTGTAAAACATAAGACTGATGGGAGCATTAAGAGATTTAAAGCTCGTCTTGTTGCTAAAGGCTTCACCCAATCCTATGGGATTGATTATCAAGAGACATTTGCTCCTGTGTTAAGCTTAATATTGTTCGTGTACAGCTATCCCTTGTTGTAAATAAAGATTGAGCCCTACGTCAACTCGACATAAAAAACGCATTCTTGAACGATGACCTTGAAGACGTTTATATGAATATTCCATCGGGCTTCGAGAATTACTTGAACAGAGAAAAGGTTTGCAAACTCAAGAAATCTCTATATGGTCTTAAAAAATCCCGACGAACATGGTTTGGAAGATTCACCAAGTCAATCTTTCAAAATGGGTACACCCAATGTCAAGATGATCATACTTTATTTGTCAGATTCTCATCTGATAAAAGGATATATATCCTAATTGTTTATGTGGATGACATCATACTGACCGGTGATTATGTGGAAGAGATAGAAAGATTGAAACACTTCTTATCTAAGGAATTCAAGATCAAAGATCTTGAAAATCTTAGATATTTTCTAGGCATGGAAATTGCTCGATCAAAACTTGACATCTTTATCTCCCAACATAAGTATGTCCTAGACTTACTACAAGAAACAGGGATGCTTAGACGCAAACCATCCTCAACTCCTATGGACTCCAACAAAAAGGTTGAATTAATAATTGACAACCCACTTGCAGAAGACAGGGGGAGATATCAACAATTAGTGGGACGCTTGATCTACCTATCACATATACGACCTAACATTGGTTTCGCAGTAGTGCTGTCAGTCAGTTTATTGGCACCAATGACATATATTTCAATTATACTATGCAAAGTCATAGGACGTTTCAAATCAATATATTTTCTTTCATAGGTGTTATGACCTTTTCAAGGATCATGTTTTGGTGTTTCAGAATGTGTTGTTATTAATTTTCTGCAATGCAACCCTTTTAAATGTAGAGTGTAGACAACAAAATCATCCACATAGTCCATATTCAACCATCAAACAGAGTGGAACAGGTGCAATTGAAAAGAAAGCAGATCAATTACAATTAACCAAGTAAATGATGATATGAATACCTGGAAAGTAGTGAACCATTTTCCGCGTTTCCACTTCATACGTGGCCTTACACTTGAGCAATCAAATTCTATCTCTCTTTTTGTGTGTTTAAAGAACACGTTGTACCTATTATCAGCAAGTTTTTTGGTAACTACTCCCCTCCACCAACCAAAATCATAGTAAGCATCCACCTTTTCCAGCAAAACAAAATCCATATCCTTGAGGCTGAGATGAGGTGGTGAGGGTCGGATGTATTGGTAATCTACAGTAACTTTATGACAAGTTGCTTCATCACCAATTCCTGGCTGCTGATGCTCAACCAGAAAAGAAGTGTTGCCCAAGTTTCCTACAACAGTTGCAGGGAACCAAACCTTCAGATTTCCTACCTTAATACGCACTTCGACTCTTTTGCCTACAGTGAACAGCAACCCTGCTGTACACTTTCGAGAGTTTTTTGAATGGGAAACAATGTCAGAGGAAAAATTCACAATGAATAAACTCAAAACTTAAAACCAAAAGTTAAAAATTCACTAACCTTTTTATGTTCCTTCAAAAACGTATCAACAACGTTTTTCTTGAAATATTGAAGAAGGGGGACATCTTTTTTCGGATTCATACTTGCTTTGTTCATATAAAATAACTACATAAAAAGAAACGAAACGATATTATATATTGACATACTGTTACCTCTATTTAAATTTTACCATAAATACAACTATAACAGTGTTGAAGTAACCTGTAGAAACAAAACACATCCACCTAGATATTTTTGTTTCAATCCTTTTCCATTCTGAAAAGAAGCGATGCTCTGCACCAGAGTTTCAATGGCATGTGTTGCCCACCTCTTGTGATTCATATCATCAATGTTATTTAAATACTTCCCATTTAAGCTACCCCTTCCTGGTGCACAGACAATACGAAGCAAGGATAACAGAGCATAAGCTTTTGTAGCAATGTTCATGTCATTGCTTTTAAGATGTACTGCAATTTTTTTATTGGATACTGTAAACTGACAGGGATTACTATCTGCAAACAATGTGTTTAACTCTTTTGAAGGATGATTTTTCAAATCAATCTCTTCCACACCATCTTTAATTCCCATGATGTTGGTAAATTCTTCAGGTGTGACTCTATAGTCATGACCATTGATATTTAGACTCTTGTTAGAGACATTGAAGATGGATACTAGATCGAGTATAAGATCACTGTTTCTCACCCCACCATCCAGCTCCAAAAGACTCTGAAATGGGCTATCTTTCAAATTGGTTCTCAAAATTGTACACCTGTCTTCCCCTAATTCTTTCCAAGTGTTTACAAATTCAGTGTCTGAGCACTGAATTCTAGTCCTTGGTCCATTTGTCTGCCCATATGTTTCATTTTCCTCCTTGGGCAAAACAATCCACATGTCTTTAATTTTCTGTTTTTCTGCAGCATTGGATACTTCTAGCTTTCTGTTATTTTTATTGTTCCATTCATTCTGAGAATCCATTTGAGCTTATATTTATAATAGCCTGCATTTTTATCATATAAGATGCATCAGCAACAAAAAATAGCTCAAGTTTTGGTGCATAGATACAAGTTTAAGTAGTAATAACTAAAAGATCAATACATCAAGTTTTGATACAAAATAATTCTACGAACTATAACAATAATAGTAGCAATAATGCTCAAAACCAACCTAAAACACTACCAAGCATTAGAATGAAATTAAATCTATGAGCTATGACAAGAAAATATTCATATTACTGATGATGGAATCAAGAACATAATTACTTAATTACTCTTGGCTTGAGCAACATCTGCACTAACTAATTCAATAACCTTACAATAAATCGATCAGGAATACTAATCATCATAAAAGATCAAACTATCATAGTCTTGAAGTTTTGTTCTTGCCATTTTAAACCAAAATTACCGGAAACCTGTTTTGAATCGATCCATCTTTTGAGCAAGTACAAATTGCACCTTTGCAAGAAACAACATTGTGCTTAGAAAGCACCAGATGCCGAAAATAATGAAAGCAATAGGCATAGATCAGATATAAACCTAAATCGACAGCTCTTCACCAAATTTACAACTATTTGATGCTAAAATCACTCAAAACAATATGAAGTTGATATAATCAGAGGACAGAGACTGATAGAATCGTTACCTGGCTTGCTGGCTTCTTCAAGCTAACTTCGTCAAGCACTCAAGCCAATAAACACTCATTCTAATTTGGGTTCGTGCCTTCGTCGGTTCGAGGTGAAGTAGCGATCAGCAAGAATTGTGTGGGTACGTCAGTCGTGAAGGTGAACAGGTGAAGAATTGCGTGGGTTTCGTTCGTACGTCAGTTCGAGCAAAAGCCTGCGATCGAGCTAGGGCTTTCTTTTCCCGTTTGACGGTGGGGGGAGATTTGGGCGCCAATTCAAAAACAAATAAGAAAAATGAAGGTGTTTTAAGTTTGTTTAGGTGGTGATGGGACTACATAAAACAATATTGAATTGAACCGTAAAGCGATTGGTAGCACTAGGAGTCTAGGACACAATACAAAGTTATATTAAAATAACCAAATTGTAGCAGGCTATTCTAGGTATCATTTAATTTTCTAAGTTTTAGGGTTTTGTGATGGGACTCGATGAGTTGGGGAGCTCTAACTTGTCAGGTAGAGATCATTTATGAGGATGCGGGACTTAGAACTTACTCGACGAGTCGGAAGGCCCCGACTCGACGAGTAGGCGCTGTAAAGGAAAACCCTAATTTTCAGGGATTTGTACCTTATTTAAAGAACTTATTACTCGTTTGTAGCCTCTTTCATCGTTCTTACAATCTAGAGAGAAACCCTAGTCGTATCTTGGTGTTTTATGGAGTATTTGGGAGCTATGGAGAGTGGATCTTGAGCTTTTTAGAAGGAAACTTGAAGGTTGTAGAGATTAAAGTGAGGAGAAGACTTTGGATCCGGCATCTACCTGTTGTTAGCATCCATTTAGAGGTAAAAAGTTGCTACCTTTTATCTCTTCTTACTTATATCCCATCTTATGGAACATTATGGTCACTTTTGATGCAAAAATGGTGTCATACTCGGATTTGGACTTGTCATGAGGATATGGTTCCGAATTTGTACACCTCTAGGTCTCTCATGACATAAAGTTGCTTCCTTTACCTAGTCTAAGCCTTTTTCCATGTCCTAAGTGTTGCATGAACCCTAGTTTTAGTGTTTAAGCCTTAGGAGGCCTTGCATGCATGTAAAGTCTGCAAATTTACGTGGTAACTACACCATAAGAGGTTGAATATGTAATTTGGAGCCTTGGAATCCACTGGAAAGGACTGAAGGGACTCGACGAGTTGCTTAGCCAACTCGACGAGTCGGGTGGGGTTTTCCCATTTTCGGGATCCAGAGTGATTTTGGTGAGCTGATTAAGAGATTTCAGTCAAGAGTTTTAAGTTTAGAGTTTTTAGCCCTTGGACATTAAGGAACTCGATGTAACACCCCATTTCTGGTATGTGATTTAAATATAAGTATTTTCCTTCTTAAGAGGAACTCGACGAGTCTGTAGCCCGACTCGTCGAGTAGAGACGGGATTTTCACATGTTCTTAGTTGGCGACTCGACGAGTCCATATTCCGGACTCGGCAAGTCCGCTTGTCCGGATGAAACCCTAAATCTCAGGGTTTGTACCCTATTTAAACATCACTATAGCCTCCCACCCCAGCCTCCAGCACTTTTAGAGCATTCCTCTGTAAAACCCTAGTCCCCCTTTGTTGAGCTTAAGTGTTTTATGATAGTTTGGGAATTGTTGAAGAGAAGGAAGGAAAGAAGGTCCATAGAGAAAGGAGATCCAAGAGTTAGCTTCCATTTGTTTCTCATTCAGGTAATAAAGTTATTACCTTGTGTATTCCTCCATTAAACCCTTTTGTATGCTTGTTATGTCTCTTTTGGGGCCTTTTATGATTCAAACTCGAGATATGAGCTCTCCTTAGGATGGAGACCATAGATCTGGATGTTATTGAGCTCTAGGAACTCAATGTAGCTACCTTTATGCGGAAATAGCCTTGTTCCAAACCCTCAGTGCTTAGTATTGGATGATTTTGGTATTTTAACATCATTCTCGTATGCATGCACGTAAAGTTGGAAACTTTACGTGCAAAACCAGCCCTAGAAGCCCAGATTTATGAATTGGATGCACTGAAATCAACTAGAATTGGTTGTATAGTAATGGCATGCAGAGGACTCGGCGAGTCCAAGGTAATCTTCTTGGCCCCAAGATCAGACTCGACGAGTTGTTCATACAACTCAGCGAGTTATAGTCAGACATGTTCATATGATGAAGGACCACTCGACGAGTTGTTCATAAAACTCGGCGAGTCGGATGAAGTTAAACTCAATGTTAGTATCGAAGAAGAACTCGTTGAGTCTTTGCCAAACTCGACAAGTGGAAGCGGGTAGAGGATTAGAATGGATGATAGGGACTCGGCGAGTTGGCGGCCCAACTCGGCGACTCCAGTCAACTGAAAGTTGACTTTGACCTAGATGCCGACTTTGACCAGGGGTAAAATGGTCATTTTACCATGAGAATAGTTATCAATATTTGATATACTGTTTGTAGGATTTTTAGTCGGGGAGTTTCGGAGCAGCAGGCAGGCAGTTTCAGATTTAGCATCTCAGTAGCCAGCGTCACGAGGTGAGTTTCCTTCCGGTAGAAACAGGTCTACGGCCACAATGTCGGCCCGTTTGTTTAGCAGTAGTTCCGGACTTCGGTCCGATGCAGTGGTTCGGGGTGCTTGATGTCTTTGTGATTCAATCATGTGTTTGTGTTATGTGTTCCGGACTTCGGTCCAATGCAGTATGCAATATATGTGTTTATGCTAGTAGTTATGATTATGTTATGCTCTGTTCAGTCAGTTTCCGAACTTCGGTCCGATGCAGAGGGCAAGGCCCTAGATAGTTCCGGACTTCGGTCCGATGCAGTTTCCGGACTTCAGTCCGATGCAGTTTCCGGATTTCGGTCCGATGCAGAGGGCAAAGCCCTGGTCAGTTTCTGGACTTCGGTCTGAGGCAGTTTCCGGACTTCGGTCCAAGGCAATTTTCGGGTTTCAGTCCGATGCGGTTTCCGGATTTCGGTCTGATGCAGTGGGCAAGACCCAGTATGTGCTTTATATGTTATTGTATGGTATGTGGTAGTTTGGGGGAGCTTACTAAGCTTTGTGCTTCCAGTTTCAGTTTTTGTTTCAGGTACTCCTGCTAGCAAGGGGAAGAGCTCGGGTTGATGGCATGGTACACACCACAGTCACAGTTTTATCCTGGGAGTTTTATTCAGACATTTTGATATGATATTGATTTTAGTTTGATTTGATACATTTATTATGGCATTTTGACATACCGATGCATGGTTTTGTTATATAACATTTGACGTTGTGGCTTTTAGTAATGTTAAAATAAAAAATTTTGGGTTGTATTTTTGGGACGTTACACTCGATAAGTTACTCAGGTGACTCAGCGAGTTGACTCAGGATTACGGTTGTATGGACTCTGTAGGAACTCGACGAGTTGCTGGATCTACTCGACGAGTTGGGGTCAACATGTACTGTTGACCTTGACTTTGACCAGGGTTGACTTTGAGGGTATTTATGGTATTTTAGGATTGTGACAAGTTAATCACGTGATGATTATAGGCAATTGAGTTGGAGTTGTGCGTCGGGACTTATCGGATCTTATCTTGTCAGTTCAGCATTCTCGATAGGTGAGTCTTCTCACCATACCAATGGGTCTAAGGCACCAAGGCCGACCCATTTTACGTTATGTGGATTGTTGATTGAGTATGCATTACATTGGTATGACTCTTGCGTGGTAGACCCCGGGGGTTCCCGTGGCAGTAGATTGAGACCATGTGGGGGTTCCCGTGGCAATAGATTAAGACCATGTGGGGGTTCCCATGGCATTAGTGTAAGACCTTGGAGGGTTTCCATGGCATTCTAGTATATTTGCAGGTTTAGCTTGCATGATATTTATTGGTAGTAAAGACAATGTAGGGGTTCCCATGGTAGGAAGACCATGTGGGGGTTCCCATGGCAGGTAGTTAAGACCATGTGGGGGTTCCCATGGCACTAGGTGTAAGACCTTGGAGGGTTTCCATGACATCCTTATATGTATTATGCATGGCTTATATGTTTTATGTAGCTTTTATAGCTGATATGGATTATGTGATTATGTGGATTGTGTGGGGTATGTTATGGGGAACTCACTAAGCATTAACTTACAATTTGTGGATTTGTTTTAGGTACATATGAGCCTAAGGGCAATGGCAAGGCTTGATGGCGCGTCATGCACTCTGCAGTATTTGTTTTGATGGGACACTCTGATATTTGAAATAAAATGTTGATGTTATGGGTTTTGAAAACAATTGTCATTGATATTTGTATTTTATAGAAATGATTTGGTTAATTAAAAATGAAAATCTTCTTTTGAAAAATGGGTCGTTACACAGATTGTCCCTGGAATATATGATCTTTATGTTATATATATATATATATATATATATATATATATATATATATATATATATATATATATATATATATATATATAATCAATTTAGTTCAATTCGGTCCAGTTCAATCCTCTCTCTCTCTCTCTCTCTCTCTCTCTCTATATATATATATATATATATATATATATATATATATATTATCAATTTAGTTCAATCCGGTCCAGTTCAATCCTCTCTCTCTCAATATATATATATATATATATACTGCATTAGGTTAGTGTGTTTTTGCTAACTATTGTGTGCATTTGTAAATGTTCCTAGGCCAATCATTTGTGTTAATTTAAGTAAGTGGTTTTCTTTTAAAATTAAATAGAAAAAAAATTAATAGGATTTCATTAAATGATCGGGCATGGAAGCGAAGTTTTGTACGTTACTATTGTCATTATAATAGGAAACGTTCGTTTCTTTTGGAACTGATTCACTCATCCCAAATATCTCACAAACAATCAAATCAAAATCCATTGGTATCAGAGATCAAAACATATTCTGATTTTCTATAATCAACCTTCAAAATCGGAAGATTCTATGAAGGTATTTCATATAAATATCGACTACTGAACCCTAGAAGATGGAGGAGGCATTCTGGGATTTTTGTGAAGTGTATTCTTAAAGAATGTGGGGTACAAGATTGACTTGGGTTCAAGAACACATCAGAGACGGTGTTGAATCTTAATGATGATGATGATGATGATTTCCATTCGCAACCTGAAGGTATGAAATTTTTATTGAAGTGGATGTGTGTTGACTTTAAATATGTGTTATAATTGAATAAATATAGTTAGACTGATTTATGCATGTATGATTTGTGTTTTGCAACCAGAAGGTATGATTTTGGTTTAATTCCTTAGAAATTTAACTTTCGAAATGATGGGTTTGATTATAACGATTTTTTATGTGA